TCGGAAGAGAGAGAGAGAAAAGGGAAGAGAGAGAGAAAGAAGGGAAGAGAGAGAAGGGGAGAGAGAATGGAAGAGAGAGAGAAGATGGCGGGCAGTGGGGGCGGAGGTGGCAGTGGTGAGGGGAAGAAGAAGGAGAGAGAGTTAGCAGGAGAGAGAGAGAGATTGAAATCGGGGAAAAATGAAGAGGAAGAAGTTATGGTATAATAGATTAGACTTATTTGCGACGACATTATCGTCGCAAATAAATTTAAAAGTTGTCACAAATAACCCACATCTGGAAATTATTTGCGACAACATAATGTCGTCCCAAATAATCATTTCCTCGTGTTTGTTCTTGGTCAAATGTGTATAGCTTATTTGCGACGACAAAGAGAAAACATCGTCGCAAATAGAGTGATATTATTTGCGACGACACGTGTCGTTGCAACTAATAAGATATTTGCGACGACAAATCGTTGCAAAAAATGGATTCCCTTTGGCGGCAAAAATCCGCGCCATTAGAAATTGCGCGCCTAAACTATTTGTGACGACACTGAACTTATTAGCGACGACATGCTTAATTTATTTAATGGGGATTAATTGCGATGACATGTCGTCGCAAATAATGAAATATTTGCGACGACATATGTTGTCGCAAATGACCTTTATTGTTGTAGTGAGAGAACTATGAATCGTGATTCAGAATCATAAATGAATACAAAAAACAAACATATGTGTCAACAAGTCAACAAGGCATGAATCATCTTTATTTATTGTTAGGTTAATTTCACTTTTGGCCTGCAAATTATGTTTCCTGTTTCATTTTAGCCCCAGAATTGAACATATCACAAACTACACTCTAAACTATACCTTATAATTTAACGAACCACTAGCCCGATCCTAAGATACTTAATTAATAAAAGTGTTAATAATGAAAAAGAAAAAAAACAATTATAATTCTTTATACGCTAGCTCATTGGCCAACAAAGTATGTAAAAGCTAAGTTTTAATTTCATATATCATTCTTCAACAGCGTGACATTAAAGTGTTTATCTTATTCTTCATCAACAAAACTTCAAAAAAGAAAATTGCATTGAGTTTTTAGCGATTCTTACGATTGAATGACCAAATTAGATAAACAGAATGACCAAATAAGATAAACAACGTAACTTGGGTGCATTTCTATTTTTCCACGAATAAAAAAAAGGGTTAATTTGTTACCATTTTAAAGTTCAAAGGTCAAAATAAGACATAAAACGTAATTTAGTACCAGAAGTGAAATTAACCAATTTTTATTCTCTCCCTTTCTCTCTCTCTTTTCCTTTTATTTTCCAGCCAAACAAACAAGGACACAACACTGCGCATCTCACCCCCTGGCGTACTTTGGACAAAACAGCCTCGTTTCAATCTCTGATTTGGTCATATTGTTGAAATTATTACAAATTAACAAATATATAAATACGCCTTCGAAAGATTGTCGTCGGCGTCGTCTCCGAATAAAAAACAAATCAATCTCTCTCTCTCTCTCTATTTCTCAGTACAGATTCCACAACGCTACTGATTACACCATGTCTGTCACTCTGGAATCGTTTTCTCTCTTAAACCCTAACCCTAACATTAGCTCAGGTTCTTCTCTCCCGGCGAAGAAGCCGAGGGCCGTTACGGTGGCTTTGTCTCCCTCGCCGGCTTCTCTCCGGTTCGATCCTCGGCTCAGAACTCGCAGTTTCGGAGCATTTTTTCGGCCGGCCGGAATCTCCTCTCTGCATCGCCGGAGCTTGTGGAATCGGCCGGTGGTCGCCTTCGCCGCTTCGCATGAGGAATCGGTAAGCTCCGGAGGAATTTTGAGGGTTTTGTGGGTGAATTTTGGCTAGCTTTTGAGTGTTTGGATTGAAATGAGGGGTTTTCGAGGAGGTTTTGTCCAATGCATGTCTAGTGTTTGATTAAAAGCTTGTGAGAGTTTTTTTTTTTTTTTTTTTTTTTTTTTTTTTTTTTGGGGGGGGGGGGGGTGTTGTTTAAGTTTGTGATTATTTACAAAGTGAGAAAGATTTCTGGGTTGTTTTAAAGTTTTTGGGGTTTTTTTTTTTTTTTTTTTTTTTTTTTTTTTGTGTGCGTGTGTGTGTGATGATTGAAGTTGATGCATAGGATTAATTAGGAGTCTTGTTTGAATTGGAAATTTTGATGCTGTATTGCTATATTTCCCTAGGAATTGATATTTAAACTTGTTTCTTTTCCTGTGTGAAATCTCTGGGTTTATATTTTGAATTGCTTGTCATTGGAGCAATCAAGAGGCTCGTTTCTCAAAGCAACTTAAGAAATGTATATGGAATGTTCTCCAGACATAGTTTTTCCTGTGCTGTAGAAGGTTTCCTGATCTTCTATTGTTCATTTTGGAACGCAATTCTGCAATTAGAGGGAAAAATATGGTGAGAGGCGAAAACCTTATACCAGGGTTAAACTCTTCCATCGTGTGTATTTTGAAACTCTTATATATATGTATTTACATATTTACACACGCACACACTTAGTTGAATTCGAACCAAAAAACTGAGGTGTGAAAGTTATTGCAGAATCGGGCTAGAATAAGATATCGATGCAAAGGGAATTGTGGTGTTTTAGTTTTTACATTCTGTGAATCTGATTTTGTTCCTACATTCATGCTGGTAATATGATGACTATATGAATAAGGTCTTTCTTTTGTCCGACTCCCATAACTTCCCTTGGTTATGATTGCCAGTCAGAGATTGAAGTGGAGAAGGAAAAGGATAATACCAAATTGGGAGCCGAAGAATCTCAGGAAGCTTGGAGAGAGGCCCTAGACTCTTTTAAAGAACAAGCCTTGAAGATTCAAAGCGTATCACAAGAAGCATATGAGATATACTCTAAGAAAGCACTGGTTATTTTAAAAGAAACTTCAGAGAAATTGAAAATACAAGCTGATAAAGCAGCGCAGGATTTGAGCGAGATAGCAAAAGAAATTAGTGAAGATGGAAAAGAATATCTTTCCACAGCTTCTGAACAGTCTCCTGAAGTTAAAGAAATTGTGGAAACACTCTCCTCGTCAACTGACGATCTGAATGACATTTCAAGAATCCATGACTTTCGTGTTGGGATACCATATGGTAAGTGTAACTACTCATCATAAAAATCTGTCTGGAAAAGTTTGCTTTTTGTGATTTTAATGAGATTTCTTAATGATTTCATCCAAGTCAATTAATGCTTGAAGATGCAAAAGTTCAATGAGCAATTACAGTAAATATGAGTTTCTATCAGACATACAATGAAAGTGGTTTCATTGAGATGACGTGTTATGCAATTTTTATATGTTTTTGCATATGAGTTAGAAGAATTTGATGTTTAGGACTTTTTTAATCTTTTAATTTCCGGACTTTATTTATTTGTTCATTTCATGTTTTCTTTTCCTTGCAGGTTTAGTCCTTTCTCTTGGTGGATTTCTTTCCTTCATGGTAACAGGAAACACTGCTGGCATTAGATTTGGTGTTATTCTTGGTGGTACTCTTCTGGCTCTAAGTGTTTCGAGTTTAAGATCATATAAGCGGGGAGAACGATCTCCTTTGGCCCTGAAAGGGCAAGCAGGTTAGTATGTAGATCATTCGTGTGATACTAGATATCGAAATTGTCAATTTTTTTTGTCCTTTTATACTTTTTAGAAGATGTCTGTACAGGTTCATTTATATTGGTTTTATGATTATCTGCAGCTATATCCAGTATTATTTTTCTGAGGGAGGCGCACTTGCTGGCACAGGTAATGGGTTATTGCGATTGTTGCCTAGTGTACGAGTTCAATTGATGCTTGATAGACCTTTCAAACTCCTAATATTTCTGTTTCTTGTTTTCCTCTTTGCAGAGAGCATCACTTATCAGTGTTCTGACAATGGCTGTCAGGTTATTGTGATTCTTTTATATTTTAAACTCCAGTGTTCATCAATATGTTATTTTGGTTTCCTTTTGTTCTGCTTTGGGTCATCATGACTATTATTTGTCATTGTTTTTCTTTTCCGCTTCATCCTCTGGTTAGAGAAAGAGCGCTATGGTCTTTTAAGGACAGATGAATGATATATTATGAATTTACGACAGTCATTTGTCATGCTTAGTTACCAACACATTTACTGTTATTTTTTATCAAGTCTGAGGTGGATTTGGTATTTTTGTGTTCTTTTTGTATATAGTGACGTTGACCTTCCGTGATGTTTGATGGTGTCAGTTTACAAGTCAAAGTCCCTCCACAGGATCTACAGATATTTTTTACGTATATATTTTATTGGTAGTTCGGATTTGTTTGGTTTAGATATTCAGGATCTGGGTTCCAGGAAATACGGATACATTTTGGTCATCTCGTCTCATTTGTCCCCTTAAGCAGCTACCTTGTTTTTTTGGTCATATAATGGACCTGGGAGCTGCAAAAACCTCTAGATATCAAGGATGCACTCTTGCATGCGCAAGCAATCTAAACATTTAGGATTTTCTCCATAACTTTGCTGAACTGCTTCATGAGTCACTGAGATAGGTTTCTCAAACATATTTTCTTCAGGACGTTATGACAGATGGCCGTTATTCAGAGCTGGTCTCTTTCCTTTCAGTGCTACAATTATATGATAATTGCCTTTTTCTTGTGCAGTGGGGCTGTGCTGGCTTTCTATATCTACAGGATCACACGAGATGGAAAACAGGAAGAAGGGTCACACTTGGGAGATAAGGCAGAAAGTTAAAGGCAATTGCAGGGTAGGTTAATTTTGTCACTAATCTATGCGTTATGTACTTCCTAGTAAAAGTAAATAAATTGTGGTTCACATTATAAGATCCGTCTTTTTCCCTTTTCTTTAGCGCCTGCAGTTTCTGAAATTTATGAATATAATTAACGTGACGTGACTAAACTTCAACGAGTTGACGTATATCTTTTTCTTTTGAAGTAAAAGAAAGTAACCTTTTCACATACTTCAGGTTAGGAGCTCAGAGTTTGGAATTCAGAAGCATTTTGTTCGATACTGTTGGTGTACGAGGCATCAGAAACTGTTAGTTTTTGTTTTGTAATATTTATTCTTCGTTAGGGTGAAAATATAGATGTTGATTGTGTCACTGAATTTGCTTCCTTCACGCTTGGAGAGATGCAAGAACCAGTCCTTTTGTAATTTTTTTTTTTTGGTCGTTTGCTCTTGATCTTAAGACAAAAAAAGAACAGGTAGAAGAAGAGAATGAAAAAAAAAATAAAAGATAAAAACGTGAGCTTGCCTTGCGGAGTTTTCTGCCATTTGCATGATAAGATTGTGAAGCGTGAAAATTTACATGAATTTTTGGACGAATGTTTGTGGGCACCATACATGATTTAACGGTGTTTTGACTATATCATAATCAGTATATCATAAACCATTTCCGTTTAAATGGTAACATATCTGTTTAGTCTTATAATGCTATGATTTCTGTTTTCTTTTTTTGTGTGCGTGTGTGTGCGTTTTATTTTATTTTATTTTATTTTTTTGATAAGCTACGTGTGTGATTTTCTCTGTTAATACATGTGCTATGGATGTGCTGGTCTATTTTAGCTTAATTAGGCTGAATTAATGTTTTGATGCAGTTCACATTTCCCAAGTTACTTTTAGCAAGCTGTTTGGATATAAATTAGAAAATTGGACAAGGTTCATATCAGATTTTGTACATGAGCCAAAAGAGAGTAATGAAAAGAAAACAAAGAATTTGCGTGCCTAATGTGCTCTGTGTATTGACTCATCGCGCTTGAATCTAGTACAACTCCTGCCTGCACTTGAACCATAATATCCACAATTTCATGGCGCTTATCACGGCCACCATGCTAATTGTTTTTGGGAGGTGGTCATTTTCGACTCTAAAACCGCTGTGATGGCAACAATGATCCTGTCTTGCTCGGCCTTGAATTTGTGGGCAAAGATATTCGAAAAAAAAAAGGGGGAAAGAAGTAGATAATGATTGTGTTTGCATAGTAAATAATTGAAGTATATGTCGGGTTTTAAAATATTTGGGGTAAATAATAATAAATAGAAAATTTATTAAGTAAATCCATTTTTTACTTCCAGTAAGTAGATTATTTACTTAATGAATGTTCTATTTACATAGTCAATTTACTATTTACTCAAATGTTTTTAAAACCTGTTATTTACTTACTTTAGTTTCGTCAAAATTTCAAAAACAAGAAAATTAAACCCTTAAGGTAATCAAATAAAAGAATGTCTACGATTCAGAGGGGAAAAATAAAGAATATATAATATCTATGGTTTAATTTTGTGTACAGGGATGGAAAGTATTGGTATTAGTAGAAATATCAGTATTTCATATTTTAAAAAAAAAAGAGAAAATATCGCAAAAATATAAAATTTATGGATATTTTTTAATAAATTATTTTTTTAATATTTTTGAATATGATAAATATTGAAAAAATACATTAACACATAAACTTAAGAAAATACCTACAAAACCCCAGTGTGTGGTCAAAAGATGAAATTTGGGAAAATACTATTACTCTTCTTAACGAAGTAGTGAATATCCACGTCTATTAAATAATTCTCCCAGCTATCTATAATATTGTGTTTTCAACTTATTGAATTTTTTATCAATTAAAATTAATCTTACCCATTGACAAATTGAAAGACACAATCTATGGATTTGAGTCCATTAACCATTGTGGATTAGGGTAAATCCACTGAATCTATATATGGATTTGAGTCAACAATATAATTTAATTCTTATCACAGAATTATAAAAGATTTGGGAATGAAATTACACTAAATAAATCCTCGGTGGTTGTTAAAATTCAGAAATAACAACTTAGATTTCCGAACTGTTATTTAAAATCAATATAAAATTAAATACTTCATGAAACGTAGCAAAACTTCACAGACACTTACTACATAATTGGACAAGTATCAGAAGTCAGAATATGAGAATATATTTTAAATATCTAAATAAAATTCTGAGATTGTAAGGTGGATTCTTCAAGAAAGATAAGTTGTATCGTCTGATTTTCATATAAAGACAATTATATTTGAGTGTATATTAGTACAATCACACGTAGGTTAAACTTTTAGATGATAAAATAATTTAAAACAATGCCAGCTTAAGAAGTTTTACACAAAGAGAACTTATATTTTTCTGGCAAAGTTTCTATACAATTAATTTTTGTAACCAAAGGTATCGTGAATATTGAAGACGATGATGAACGAGAAGTCTCAATGCTTATACAAGCCAGATAAATCATTATTTGCGTATAACGTTATAAATTTGTAGTTATTAATAATTAAATGAATTACAAAACTTAAATATATTATGTAATTACAGAAATTTAATTATAAAAGGCGATGGTATTTGCTTAAGCCGAATCTTGCTGTTTTTGGCAATTTATTTTTGCCAGAAACCACTATTTACTTTTCGCAGAATGTTGCTTGGTTTAATCTGATATTCCATTTTCCCCTCAAAAAAACTTTAGTTGATTCACAGGTATAATATACATTATTTTTCATTAATAAATAAAAACTTAAATTTTATTATTGTAAACACCTTTTTCTATTATACATTAAAATTTGCAATTTTATGTGGAACAAGATACAAAGATACAAACTACTTTTTGAGGAGATAGATGGAACTTTATGAAGATACACTGACGCTGTCAAAATATATCGCAAATGTTATTCATAGAGAAGTCAAACAAGAATATTAAATAGTTGAAAACAAATTTGAATAGATCATCAATAATAGTACATTGGTTAAAGAAACTAATGATGAAGCTATAATCAAATTATTTTTTCTTTTACGTTTCTCTCATCGCTATTTGAATTTCTTACCAATTTAAAAATTAAGACCACCAAAGTTTGCAGTGTTTCTGTTGTTGTTTACACATTCTAAATCTACTTGTTGAAGTAGAAACAATTGAAAAAAAATTAGCTCAAAAAATTACAAAATTTTATAAACTATTAACAAATATTAATAATAAGAACTAACAATTAATAGATATTGGAACGTTGCAAGACAATGTCGATTACTACCTTGCTTGGAATGCATAACTACTTCTTGTAACTATACCGTTGTATATTTGAAGTTTAGAAAACTTAAGAACAAATTTCCAATGAATGAAATAAAATAGAAAACCAATTAGAAGAAAAACCTTTTAAATTCCAGTTGCTTCCGTTTTTCTTGTTTATACAAGCCTGAGTCACGTGCCTTAGGCATGTGCTTGCTGTGTGGTTATGTTTAAAAGAAATTATTGCAAATTTATTCTCATAATAGAAAAAATCTTATTTAATTAATCTTAATATTTTTTATTAAATTATGTTAAATGCTCATTTTATTTAATGCAACTTAATTTTAATTGTTTGAAGTTTCATTATTTTGTGAGGAGATCAACTTACTTGGTTGAATGAAATTTGAAGGAAATGTTAATTTATTTAATTATCAAAATTTTATTAAATTGCCCATATCATTTAATAAAGTAAATATAAAATAAATAAAAACTTTGAACACATTTGAGAATAATTAAATCAATAAAGTAATTAAAAAAATTTATAGATGTCATGTTTGAAAAATGATATTTTAAATACTTTGTAAGAAATATTTAAATTGAAACATAAACAACAAATAAAAAAGTATAAATTATTGAGGATAAGACTATAAATAACAAATATAGAAGTTTAACTTGATTTTAATTACATCATCTGGTAATTTATAGACTCATCAATCAATATTCAATGTGTTGTTTATTAATTGCTTTGGTTGCTTTTGCTTAAAATAAGTAAAATGTGGTTGAAGTTATTGTGTGTGATAGTGTGAGGTGTGAGAAGATAAACAAGCTAAGTGGACTAAATGCCCGTTTAATTTGCTGATTCGAGTTTTTAATTCGAGTTGAAATATGACTGTTTTTGAAAGATTTTTACTGTAGTAAAAAAATTAAATCTTACTGTTTCTGAGAGATTTTTACTATAATAAAACTCAAATTCTAAATTTAAATCGATAAAATGAAAGGGACCTAAATTTAAACCATTGAATTGAAACTAAGTGAAAACCATTAGATTTTGATCCATTAGAAGTACAAGTTTTGTACCCTCATCTTCTCTTCTTATAAAATAGAGATTCATTTATTATTGTTGTAAGGTCTAGCTTGATAACATATATGTATGACACGTAAGCCAAAGTGAGCGATAGTTGGCACAAAAATGCGATAGACAAAGTACTTACATCAATTTTGTGTCAAATAAACCACAGCATGTCAAACGCTTGTATTGGAGAGAAGACTCATACACATGTAACTTTTGTCAAAATAAAACACAGCATGTCATAAGGCTCAAATACGTGTAACTTTTGTCAAATAAACCACAGCACGTTAAACCTCAAACACGTGTAACTTTTAACAAATAAACCACATGTCAAACACTTGTATTGAACACAGGATTCATAAGTTTTAACACAAAATTAACCAATTGTCAATGCCCAACAAACAAGGAATGCTTTTATGTATTATCTCTACTTAATAATGACTGCTAATGAATAGTCCGAATGAAGAGCATCAAGAAGCAGTGTACAGGATTCTGAGGTACTTAAAGAATAGAGATTCTGTCAGATGCAAATTGGGTAGGGTCTTTGACTGATAGACGATCAACTTCCGGATATCGTTCCTTTGTGTGGGGAAATTTGGTCAGCTAGAGGAGTAAAAAGCAATCAGTAGTGCTGAAGTTGAGTTAAGGGCCCTAGCCCATGGAATTTGTGAAGGGCCCACCTCCTAACAGCTTAAGCTTTTGGGATAGATTGGTAAACTAACATGGTGTCAGAGCGGGAGGTCTTGAGTTCAAACTCCCGTAATTGCATTGTTTATCCCCATTTAAAATAATGAAGTATCACCAGTCATGTGGTATGAGGCTCCTGAATCAACAATCCAACCTATGGAATCCTCGGTTTTGACATGTTGAGTGGTTGAAAAAATACCTTTCTGTGCAGTAGATCCCGTGGAGACAGTGGGGGCAAGGTTTGATTTCTAGTTGAACATTTTCTATAGCCATTCAATTTGCTCCTTGCTGAAGAGACTAGGTTCCAAGTTTGATGGACTTTCCTTGTCTTCGGGAGCAGCAACAAAACTTAGAGCTTTTCTTTCTCGATTTGGCTTCCAATCAACGGGCTTACCATGGATTTTCCAGCAGGTTTCTCTAGTATGTCTCGTTTTCTGGCAGTGATCACACCAGGGTCGAGTCTTCTTCTGCTTTGTGTCATGAGCTGCATGAGTTCCCCTTGCCGCAAGGGCTGAGTCTTCTGTTTCTGTTTGAACTCAGAACCTCCAACTCTGATACCATGAAGAATTATAGATAACCTGAA